CCCCCCCCCCCCCCCCCCCTTTTTTTTTTTCTTTTTTTCTTTTTTCGTATTATTATTAGCAGTAGTAGTGTGTGTGTGCGTCTGCGTGGTGGGGAAGGCGACGGAAAACAAAAGCAAAAAGGGGCTGAAGAAGAAATTTCATCCCACTTGACGTGAAGGGAAAAGGAAATAATGGGCTCACGCGTCACGTGCATGTGTAGACGCACGTCTGCAAAGAGAAACGTAACGCGGTATGTGTTTGGAGGAGGAAAAGAGTGGGGTGAGGGGAAATTGAGCCACCACAAGAGGGAGGGGCAAGGCACGGAGTGAGGTCACACCGTGCATGGAGGACAAAAAAAGAAAAAGAAAAAAAACAGAGAGACAGAGAGTGAAACAGATATTTTCCTTATGAATAGTTTCAATTATTGTTATTGTTATTATTATTTGATTTGGTTTAGACATCTAAATGGCGCTATATATACATGTATGTATGTATGTACGTCATGAGCGTACGCGCCCACAAGACAGAAGGTAAAGGGAGGGGGGAGGAGGGGAAGAGACAAGGGGGGGAGGGCGTACAAAAGAAAAGGACAACAGAGAGAAGTTTTTTTTAAAAAAAAAGAGTGTGTTGTCAATGGCCGCATTTTTCTTTTTTCTTTTTTTTTTTTTCTTTTTTTTTACTTCTTGTTGTTGATCAAAATTCTTTTGTGGCGGTGGTGAATTATGAGGTGCGTGGGTCCTTTTTGCCTGCCGCAGACGTGGCTCACGCGTGCGGGTGCACCGTCCTTCTCCGCCTCCCTTTTTTTTTGTTTGTTTGTTTTCTCTCTCTCTCTCTCTCTCTCTTTGCGCATGCACCCCGCCTTGAATGCTGCGGTGATGAGTGCATATGCCTGTCGTTGGTGCTTTTATTTTTCTGCTTCTTCATTGTATTACTTGGCGTTACCACCGCAGCTTCGTTTATGTTTATTTTTATTTATTTTTTGACTGCTGGTGGTTTAATGCCTCTTTTCCCCCTCCCCCTCCCTTCTATTATTATTATTATTATTATTACTGTGCTCTCATCATTTGACGTTTTGTTTTTCAAATTGTTTTAACGTCTGCTCTTTTGGATGCCTTTTGTTTTTTTGTTGTTTTTTCTGTTTCTTTGTAGTCTTTATTATTTTAGACATATATATATATATGTGTGTGTTTGTTTGTGTGCATGCATGTGTGCTGCCAACAGACGGTAAGTAAGGATGGAGGAGAGAAGGTGAAATGCGTGTACTTTCATCTGCTTAGAAATAACGAGCGAGAATGAGTGAGAGAGAAAGAAAAGAAAAAAATGAGAATGAGACGGCGTCGTAGTGGTGGGATGAATGAAACGGTGGAATAATTTTTGTTTTAAGAGAAAGAAAAAAAGAGAGAAAAATAAAAATAGTTGAATTGAAATGTCACGTGCGTCTCGTTTTTTTTTTGTTGTTGTTGTTGTTTCCTTTGTGTGTGTGTGTTTTTTTTTTTTCATGTGGTCCGTGGAGGAGTGCGTGGTAATTCCCCTCCCCCCCCAACTTGTTTTTTATTTTATTTTATTTTGTTCTTATATAAATGTATATAAACACAAATACAAATATATTTATTTATTTATTTATTTACTGATGTTTGTTTTTACTTGTTGTTTCTCCGCTTGGACCGTTTATTTATTTATTTGTTTGTTTGTTTGTTTCTGCGGCTTTACTTTTTTTTTTTTTTTTTTTTGCCGGTGGATGAAGTGGGAGGGGGCCGTCTATTTGTGTGTAGGCTGCCGTCTGCTGTGCGGCATGTACTCTTCATTTCCCTTCACCGTGCGTAGATGGCATGTCTGTTTATTTTCTGTTTCTCTTCTTTTTTCCTCTTCTTTTTGCCTAAACCCCACACACCCCACCCCACACATATATATATATATACTCTCCCTCTCTTCACCAGCGGAGGAAGGGAAACAAAAAAAGAAGAAACTGAAGCGTACACACCCCTGTCCTTGCCTGTCCGAATTTCGTTTGTTTCTTTTTTCTTTTTTCTTTTTTATTTTTTTTGTCATTTGTGTGTGCGTGTGGAAGCTCTTTTTTGTTGTTGTTTTGTCCTTCACCGCCACGTGATGGAAACTCCACCGATGCCACGGGCGATTGCGTCCCCTGACGATGCGTACCTGCAACAGCGTGGCATTCCGGGCCTCTGGCAGCAACTCAGCGGTGAGCTCATGGAGAAGAAGCCGACAAATCACCTTGCCTTCATGCTGCAGTGGCTATCGAGGCTGGCGGGGACGGCGGAGGGCGTTGAATGGGCACAAACCCACAACGATACGGGGGGAAAAACGATGAAGCCCTTTTTTCTGAACGAACGATATGGCGGAAGTGACACGACGGAAGCCGAAAACGATGATAATGTTCTTTGCAACTCCCCCGCACTTGCAGAGTTTCTTCCGGTAAAGGGACTTCTTGTTGATGATGGCGCTATTGGGAGCTGCGAGCACTTTGATGGTGTCTCCCGTCCACTCGAACGCCTCCCCCGATGCGGGGATGCATTGGTGGCAACTCCAGGCGTAGATGTGCCCATGCATCCCATTTATCTCTCAGATACAACCGTGACGAGGACAGATCCCAACCATAAGCACGTGGATCCAGAAGTACTTTCCTCCACCAAACATTTGATGGAAATTGTGCAACGGCTCCCGCCTAGTGAACATATTGCGGCGTGTGTCTTCTTGGAAAGTCTCCTTGATAAAAAAGAACTAGCGGTATCTACATCGAAAACACCTGCGAAACGTGAACCTTCATTGGGAGCCACGATGAATGGAGAAAGTAATGGGTGTTCACCAAGCGACGTAAACCGACGATCGTCTCCCAGTGCACTTAGTACCGACGCTGTCAATACCCTTTTGGAATTTAAATTGGCACGTACACACTTGCAAGATCTGGTGAATGACGCACTGACTGCCAGTATTCTTGCGCGGGAAAAGGTGAACTCGGAGTGTATGGATTGTAAATTACATATGAGTTCAACAGACACGGTTGCTTCTTCGCCCCATGGAATTTTCTTTTCAGGCACACGGAGTGAGTTACCACTGGCCCCTCTGAAAATTCAAAGGGAAACTGACGATGTGCCCAAGTACGCGTCCGAAGACACACCGTTATCAAGTGCCCTTCCAGCTGGCAGATTTTCTGTTCATACCCTTTCCATGTCAGGTTTTGGTGAAGAAGGGGGGGGGTTATCACAAATGAGGCAGTTTTCTGCATCAGAAGAAGAACTGGATGTGGTGCGAGAAGGAATTTCGACGCGCATGCCATTTTGCGAGTTTGATGAAATCCAGGTAGAATGTGTTGTTCGTAGTATGGAGCGTCTCACGTGGGATGAATGGCACTTGCACACGCTCAGAAATGAACTGCTCTTTGTCTATTCCGGCACGCTGTTGTTGCTGAAGGAGGGTCGTGTACTTCAGAGACTCTCAAAGGGAGATGTCTTTGACGGCCTGCATTTGTCACGAGAGGTAAAATATGAATCCAGCCATGAGGTACGCGCGGTATCCAGTGCCATCGTATTTTTGATTGAAACGGATGTGTTCCGCTCCCTCTTGGACAATGAGAAGAAGGCACGTTATTCCATGTTTCTGAGACTCATGGAACGTTCACTGCTATTGTCAGGGCTCTCCTTGAGAACCCGCAAACGTCTGGCAGACTCCCTACGGATACGGAAATTTAAAGCCGGATCAATGCTCATGCAGAAAGGTCGACCGATGGAGTGGGTCTCTTTTGTGTTCAGTGGTGTCGTTAGGAGAAGGGTTGATGATGAAGCGGGAGCGACGAGAGCCGTAAGGGAAAATGCGTCTCTCATCAGCGATGCCCATTGGGATTACTTGCTGGAAACCAGGACGGGAGGTGTCATTGGGGCCTTTGAACTTATCTTCCGCTCACACAGTCTTACAGATGCCGTGGCTGCATCGAGAGTGCTGGTGGCGCAACTGCATGTGGTGTACTTTGAGGCCATCATGTCTCAGCGGTATTTGGATGAGATGAGGTTCACTGTACTCAGTGATCCTCTTACCCCGTGGTTGCTGCAACATGCAACTGAGGAAGTGCGTCTTATGGCGGAGCAGGCGGAAAAAGAAATGGGCAGTGTGCCGAAGAAAGTGAATATGCAGGAAATGGGGCAAAATTTGTATTCCACAACGAGATCAAGCGTTCCAGGCTTAACAATGAACCGAGCTAGAAGAAGGGGTCTTGTTCAAGCAAGGAATTTGAGCATATGTTCCGCCGGTGAAATAGTTTATGCAGGGAAGAAGAACATTTATCGGTTTCCTCTCTCTGTATTGGAGATCAGTAACACCGTTGTTATTGCCGTTGTCTCCGATGGTGTCATTATTCGATGGAACGCTGCAGCAGGAAGAGTCACGGGATTTCAGTATCACGATGTCCTTGGGCAACGCATTTATAGACTTCTCGCTACAGAGACGACAAGAAACGGAATGCGGGAACAATTGCTTCAGGCAGAAAGGTTTGTTGGGAGCTGGGATGACTACGTTGCCTCTGGCCTATCCTCTCCATGTGTCTACCGTTTCCGGCAGGCATCAGAGGTTTACTACGTAAACCTACTGTTGAGTATCGTGCCATCCTGCCTGGGCACCGCCGGTGATGTCATGTTGCTTGTGGGTCGTGAGACAGACAATCAGGCAGTGGTGAACTACATTGAAGATGCCGTGCGTTGGATGCGAGATGTGTTGCAGCCTCAGTTAAATGCCTTTCAACGACGTGTGGAAAGTATTGGGGAGAAAGACTGGAATATGTCCCCTGACGACGGTAAGCGTTTGCTAGGTCATGTGGAGACCTGCAATAAGCTCATGGAAAGATACATGCGACTCTCAAGCCTCAATTTGGAATCCATGAAAGAGATGTGGAAACCGGTTCGGATTCACCACACTCTACGACAATTTGCTCGAGAAGCGGTACAGCTGGTTGGTGTTGCAGAGAATCGCTTTACCCTTTTCTTGGATGAAGGCGTCCCAAAGCACGAGATCTTTTTTAATGTGGAACATGTACTGGAGGTTCTGAGGCGGGTAGTGGTTGAAGTCAACAAGGCCGGGACAGGCATTCTTATCTCCGTGTTTGTCTGTGTGGTGGAGCCTACCGCGGAATTTGCTGTGAGCCGCAAAATTTCGTGTCCAATTGTTGTTTCGCGACGTGCCAGTATTGCCACCCATGTTGGCTTGGCTTCATTATCTCTGAATTTGACGCCCTCGTCCTTTAACCCGCCACATTCAGACAGAAGCAGTTTGCCGCCCTTCAAGGAAGGGGGACGCGCGTGCAGTGCTACGGAGCCCCAGCAAGTGATTGATGGCCCCTCTTCTTTATCCATGCGACGCATTCGGATTGTCGTGACCGATAATGTGGAGATGGACGATGGCAGCGAGGGTGATAAAAAGGTAGGGGTCGAGACATCGTCAATGGCAAATTTGGAAGGAAAAGAGACGGAAAATCCACGAAAATATGACGCTCGACGACGAATGGCCACAATCAAGGAGTGTGAACAGATGGTTGCTAATATGTGCGGCACCCTTTCTTTCCACACCACGCGATTTCCGCTTTCGTTGAACACGTTGAGTATTGAATTGCCACTGCTACCTGTCCCTTGGGTTGAGGAGGAGGAAGATAAGGAGAACGTTGACCCTCCGATTACCACGCATCCGTTTACTGTGATTGTTGCTGATCGGGATGCGAAGCAACGGAATATTCTCTGTCGATTAATGTGGTCGCGTCGTCATGCGGTTGTGCCTGTCACATCATTACGCGAGGCAATGATAAACGTGGAAGCTGGTGGCGCGGATGTCCTTGTGATTGACCCTTTATACCTGGAGGCTACAGAGGAGGAATATGCCGCATTTCGAGATGGAACGGCTCCATTTGAGGCCCTGCGTCAACAAACGCAGCTTGTTGTTGTGCTGTACGCGGATGACTTCAATGATTGGCGTGTGAAAAAGTTGATGGGCTACTCCCACGTTATCGAATTGCCCAAGCCAGCCTCAGGAGCCCTGTTGCACCTTGCAATGCACGAAGCAGAGCGTCTTGTGATGTGTATGCGGGAGGATGAGGAAAAAATTGCACTTCTCCGCATGGCATTTACGGAATTCCAACCGGATCGACACAAGTTGGGACGACTATTGGGAAGAGGGGCGTATGGTGAAGTATTTGAAGTCGAGGACCTGCTCACCGGTGGCAAACTGGCAGTGAAACGCATGTATCTTGAAGACGGTGTATTGGCTGATGATGCCATTCAAGAACTGGTGGCCACGACGTCCTTAAGACATGAAAATATCATCCATTACTTTTACTGTCAGAAGGAAAGTGATACGCAGCTCCGTCTTTACATGGAATTGGCATCTGGAGGCACCTTACGTGATAAAATTCGACGACAAGGGGGGCCCCTGCCGCTTGAAGAGATTGTGCGTCACCTAAAAGATTTATGTCGTGGCCTTGCGTATTTGCACTCGAAAAATTACGTGCACAGGGATATAAAGACGGCAAATGCCCTTATCGATCATCATGGACGAACCAAAATTGGGGACTTTGGAACGGCAAAATGTCTAAAACGATCGTCCGAGAAGTTGTATACGGTGGCGGGGACTCCGCAGTTTATGGCACCGGAAGTGATGAATGCGGATTCCACCAAGGGCATTGGGTACAATCAAAAGGCCGATATTTGGTCTTTGGGCTGCGTGGCGCTTGAGTTAGCCACGGGCAAGTCACCCTTTTCCTATCTGAACTTTACAAGTGGCATGGGCATTTTTGTGTACGTCAGTAAACTTACCGACACTCCAGACCTGTCTGTGATCAAGGATGAAAATCCCTTATTGTATGCGTTTATTGAGTCCTGTCTTTGTATTGATCCTGATAAACGTCCTACGGCGCAGGAACTGATACATCACGAGCTTCTGCAAGAGGCCGAACATGGCTCCCGGAATAAGCAACTTGCACGGAGGGTGGAGATGGTGGAAAAGTTGAAACGTTATGCCGCGATTGACGCTGAAGGGGAAGAGGATGAAGAAGAGGAAGAAGAGGAGGAGGATGAAGTGAATGATGCAGGCAGCAGTGTAAGTGTTTGCAATGCCCATAAAGGAGGTGATTGCAAGGACGACCCGTTGGTGGGTTTCTCTGAAGAAAAGAGATGTGAGTTGCAGTGGAAGGGACGGGGAGGCAATCCGGATGAATTACTGCGGGAGCAGAGTTTTTTTGCCTCCTCCACCTTTTCGAGCGGGGAAGAGGACGAGAGGAACTGACATGTCTCCATACGTCTTCTCCTTTTTCTATGTTCACTCTCTCTCTCTCTCTCTCCCTCCATTTATCTTTTTATACTTTCTTTTTCCTTTCATTATTTTAATGAGAGCACACATGAATGAACGGGTGTTTTGACGGAAAATGACCGGTCTAAATTCATGAAGTATCTTCTTGTTGCCTTTTGTTTTTTGTTGTTTTTGTTGTTTTTGTTGTTTTGTTTTTACTCCATTGCCTGTTTGTGTAGTGAAAAACAAACTTTACCCTACGCCAAGAAACATGCCATTCTCTGCATTCTTATATATATATATACATATATATACATACGTGTGAGCATTGGGATGTGTGCATGGAGGGGGCGGGGCGCAGTTGCCCGAGTCTGGAGAAGAAATGAATTGCCGAAGTGAGAAATCAAAATATTTAAAGTGAAAATAAATAAATAAATAAATAAGAAAAACAACACCAGAAAAGAGAAAGAAAGAAAAAAAAAAGAGAGAGAGAGAAGGAGAGAGAAATGAAGTTGGAAGAAATAAATAATAAAAATAAATAATAAAATCCTCGTTGGCTATTGGCTGGTAAAGGACATTTTTGTTTTTTGTTTTTTGTTTGTTTTTTTTTTGTTTTGTTTTGTTTTCTTGCGTGTCTGCGTGAGTGCTTATTTTATTTTTGCCCCTTACTGCCACTGACATCACGGGTGGGAAAGAAAGAGAGAGATTATATGTGGAATTAGGCGGCTGGAAAGAAGGAAAAAAGAAAAGGGCAGGAATGGGGATGGAGGGGGAGGGGTGAGTACTCCCGGAAAGACAATTGCATAGATACATCCATGCACTTATAAACCCCGCGATTTATAACTGTGTATTAATTTTTTTTTCTTGCTTTTTGCTTGATTCTCTTCCCATTTTATCAATCCTTTTGTTGTTTTTGTTGTTGTTGTTGTTTTTTGTGTGCCTGCATGCCCGTTGCTGCTATTATTTTTATTTTATGTACATAATTGCTTTTTTGGAACTGTTTTTTGCTTTATATATACATGTATACATGCCTATATATATATATATATGTATATATATACTCCCCACGTAGTTTGGAGAAGAGTGTGGCCGTTGGTATGAACGATATTCATTGGTCACTTCTTTGGTTTTGCTTTTTCTTTACTCTTTATGCACGTTTGCTTTTCTCTCGTTGTTGCTTTTTTTTTTTTTTTTTTTTTTGTGTGTGTACGTATGTGTATGTGTTCCAACCGTAGTTGAGGAAGAAGGGGAGAGACTTGTGATTTAAAATGACAGTTTCTTTTTTTATTTCTATTTTTGTCTGCGTTTTTTTTTCTCTCTTTTTTTGTGCTGTTTATTGCTTGAATAACTTCTTGGGTGCGTGTGTGTGTGTTTATATTTTTTTCTTTGAGTGTTCCCTGTTGTTGGCCTCCTGTTGTGTGTGGGAGAAAATGCACTCCACTGCCTTTTTGCTTTTGTTTTTGGTTGTTGTTGTTTTTTTCCCCCCTTTTGTCTTCCGCGACGGTTTGGCAAAGAAACACACAGAGACAGTAGTAGGGGAGCGCTTGCCGTGCGTGATGGCGGCCGAGCGGGAGGTGATCACCGTCGCACTCGGAAATTATGCCTCGCTTGTGGCGGCGCAGTGGGCGAATGGCACGACGGAGTACGACACCACGAGGCGGACGTTGTACGCAGAGCGGCGGGTAGGGGCCGTGTGGGGCGGAGAGTTGACGCAGCAGCGCACAGGGGCAACCGTGCGTGTGCCACGCCTGATTTTGTTGGATGCGCCCCATGCGACGCGAATGAAATTTCCCCGACGTCGCATCCACCGGGACACTAACTTGAAAGAAGCGCAGGAGGCGGATCGTGGTCATACGCCTGGGGCGATGAATTGCCCAACGACGGCGGATTTCTTTTCCTCCGACTCATCCAACTCGCACAGTGACGATAACGATAATGATAACAACGGTGGTGAAAAACAAGAGAGGGGTGAGGTGGAGGAAATGCCATCATTCTCCTCCTCCACGGACCAGCGTCATCATGGCCGTACTTTTTCCCCAAGCGGGGTGGCGGCTCACGAAACATTCAATTCTGTGAGGCAAATCAAGCGGGAGCTCTTTAATGAGCGAGATGAATTAGTTCCCTGGTGGCAGTACATTCGCAGTGGTGTGAGTGCGAATTGTGTGCATGTTCTTCATCCGCTGCACCCTCTGGGGGGAGCCGCTGCTGATGTTCCGCTTTTGCATAGCTTTGGCTTTGGAATGTCTCAACTGAGTTCCACGCACAGTAACGACATGGCGGAAGTGATGGGAAGTATTCGACAGCAACTGGAGGAAGCGGATTCCCTGCAGGGTGTGCAGTGTTTTCTGGACGGCGACTCCGCCTTTGGTGGAGCGGCGTGTAATGTCATGGAGGAGTTTTGGGAAGACGCGGGGCATAAAATCCCTGCTGTGTTTTTCGCATGTTTTCAGCCCCTTCCTGAGGAGACGATGACTCCTGGAAGCGACGTGGACTTTGCAGACAGGCGAAGAGATGAACTGTGTCTGAATCGCCTTCTTGCCGCTTCACACCTGACACGGCAAGACCGCGCCGTCTACATACCGCTGGAGTTGGAATACTGGAAAACCTCGTTTGCGGAACACACAACATTAGGCATGAATGTTCCTTCATGGCTTCAGAACGATATTGCCACGGCCCAGTTGGTTGCAATGGCTGCTGATACTGCTCTCTATGGCATTAGAGATGATGGAAGTGTAAACACGACTAGGGGAAGCGGTCCATCATTTTATATGCATGACTGGCAAGAAGCGGTGCGGCCTACAAGGACTCTGCGTGTGGCAGCGGCTCTTGCAGCAGTGCCACTGCGTGTGTACGATGCCAATGCACCTAAAAACGATCTTTGGGATTTTCTACACCGTTATCCACTACTAACGACATCTCCGGTTGCAAACAATGGATTCTTTACGCCGCTAACGCACCCCATCAATTTTGAATTTCAAACTGAAGCTGGGCGTGTGTTGGGTCATGCCTTGACGATGAGAGGTGCAGGCAAGCTGCTCGACCTGACTTATCCACGACAAGAGGCATTGCTGCGATATGGCCTTCCGCTGCGAACGGCAAATTATCTGCCTCTTGTAACAGGAAACAGCTACCCCATCTCATCGACATTCCCTCAAGATTTTGTGCTCCCACGTGATATTTTGGCCTCTGGGGCGCTGGATGGCATCGATGTTGGATCTCATGTTGTGTCAACGTTTGGCTCAGCCCCCATGATTCAGGGGATTCTAACGGATGCAGAAAAGGTATTGCATTGCCGTCGACACCTCTACGAGGATGCATACTGCATGGAGAAAGACGAGTGGAAGGAAGTCATTGAGGACGTCCTTCAAATGCGAGATGACTATGATCACCGTGATAACGAGGCCGATGAAGAGGAACTCGAGTAACTTGGTTACCAATTTAACAATAATTCCTTGGTAACTGTTGTAAGTTCTGGAGCATATATATATATATAATAGGAAACAATATAATCTGAAGAGTGGGGTTGCCAGATGGCTCATTCTCCTCTTTTTTATATATACCTCCGGTATGCTTTTCCATCCTGTTCTTGTTATGGTTGGATGGCGACGTCTTTGCGAATACTGCTGTGTTTATTTTTGTGTGTGTTATTATTGCCATTTGCTGTGTGTGTGTGTGTTTTCTGTGTCTCTATTGTGTTTCCACTCTGGGTTTGTTTGTTTGTTTTTTCATTATGGTTTGTTTACGATGCTGCGGAAAACAAATGCACTGTGATGGATTGGGCTCATGACAGCACGTGGAGTGCGGGTCCTCCCCCGCACGGAGAGGCATGCATGGGGAATGGTGACGATGACATTCAAAAGACGGTGCAGCAGCGGCTGACGGAGGCTCAGCGGCAGCGTAACGAACTCATTGCTCGTGGCGTGGCCCACCTTGTTGCACCGTCCGTACGCCACTACGACGAGGCCAATGGGAGCGTGTGGAGAACGACGACCAAAATTCACACGGTCGTGCGAAGCGCGGCAGCCGATGCGTGCGTCACGCTCAGCGTGAGCCCTTTTCGCGGGAGGAAGCCGACCATTGTGTTTTTGCCGCTCGACCACCCATGGGACGGCGACCTCCACAGCAACGATAACTCTGCGTACGTTGAGCCTCTACCTCTTGCCTGGCTGCCGCCGGCCCGGATGGGTGAGCAAAAGAAGTTGCGCCGCGAAAGAGCGTACGCGGCGTTGCACTTTACGATGTCTGACAACGCGGTGCGTTTTTCAAGTGTTATGTGTACTTTGGAGCGAGCCGGTTTTGCGGAGGAGAGAAGTCTCCTATCGACAACGTGGTCCTTGAAGTGGTGCAAGCGCCCTGTAAGAAGCGATTTTTTGCGACTGAAACCGTTTCAGCGTATCAATCACTTCCCCGGAACGTGGCGTATTGGCAAGAAAGATGAACTGCATAAGCACCTTGTGGCCGCACGAGAACGTTGGTGTGAAAAAAATAATGAGAATTTGATTCTCGTGGGCCACGCCCACGGGAATTCATTTGGTGACTTCTTCCCGGAAGCTTGGGTGCTCCCGGATGAGGCGGCGGCTCTTAAGCATGTTTTGGGTTCAGACAAGGAGCACGATCATCTATTTATTGTTAAACCTACAAACAGTGCATGCGGAAGGGGCATTTATCTTCTGAGGGCCAGTGAACATCTGCGTCTGGAACATGCACTGCAGCAGCCGAACGCGTGCGGTGCGAGTGAGACGCGTCCTCTTCGCCTTCTTGTGCAGCGTTACATTTCAGACCCCTTGCTTATAGAAGGATATAAATTTGACCTGCGACTCTATGTAGTGGTGACCTCGTACTCTCCAATGCGGGTATACTTGTATGAGGAGGGACTTGTGCGGTTTGCTACGCTGCCGTACCCTGCAGAAGAGACCTTGGAAGACCACGCGTCCAAAGAATCTCTCACTGCACATCTCACGAATTTTACCATTAATAAAAAATCGGAGGACTTTGTGCCACCCGATGGTATTGGGGACAACGGAGGCGTGACGAGTGCCTCCAAGTGGACGCTTGCAGCGTTGCAGAAGGAGTTTTGTAATTCTGGGTTGGACTGGAATGGAACGATGGCACGTATACATGATCTTATTATGAAAACACTCCTTGCGGTGGAACCACATGTCATATATGAGCAAGAGGCGATTAATGACACTGTGGGTGACTGCTGTTTTGAAGTGTATGGCGTAGATGTGTTGTTGCGCCGTCCTTACACCTCAGAAAGCCCCACACCGATGCCTGTTCTGATGGAAGTCAACATTATGCCTTCCCTAAGTACGCATTACTCACTGTTAGACCAATGTGTTAAAGGAAACTTTGTTGCGGACACATTGACACTTGTTGGTATCACCGCTGCTGTCGGAAGTAAGAAATGCGGAAAAGATGTTGTGCCTATTTGCGAAATGCCCGAAGGGGACAGGCTGACATTTTCGTACGGGCATCCGTTTTTAGATGCACTGACGGATGCGCTGGAGCTCGAGTCGTGTCTGACTTCAGAGGAGGAGTTTGTGCGGCGCATGCACTTTCAACGGCTTTGTCCAACCCCAGAGTCCTACTCGCGCTACCGCTCACTATTCACACAAGTGCAACGTGGGGCACTCCAACGCTCACTGAATGAAGTGCTGAGTTTATGGGAGCAGACGAAGTTGGATGATCCACCCGTATATAGTTGAATTGGGCCCGCGAAACAGGCGAGGGGGAGGGGGGGATAGATGATGCACACTCCTTTTCTCTCTCTTTCTCCTTCTGTGTGTGTATGTGTGCGCAGGTAGAGGATTTGTTTCTCGTGTTGGGCACCGTGGATGTCTCTATTGAAGTGTATCTTTACTTCTTGTGTGAAACCTTTCTGTGTGCATCGGCATCACTTTCTTTCTTCGCTTTTTTTTTTAGTTTAGTTTAGTTTGTGTTTTTTGTTTTTGTGTGTGTTTGTCTGTGCGTTCAAACAAAACTTTTTTTCAAGGTGACAGAGTCATTTCTTTTTTCTTTTTTGGCATTTCCACTGCGACAAACCGTACATCATGTCATCGCCTCTAATTGTCTGCTCTGTCCTTAAGGACGAAGACGCTCGGACCAATCTGCTTTATATGAACCCACAAGACGCCAAAATATTTGTTGACAGCTCAGGGATCGTTATGATCAACGAGTTCCTCTTTACGGTATCCGCCAACACAGGGATTAGGGCCGGTCATGTTGGCATGAACAGTATCCAGCGTCGCCTTCTTGGCCTCTCAACCACAGCAGGGAGCACAGTGATTCTTCATAAACCACCGCAACGCATTCCATCCATTGCAAAAATGGTCTTAACGGTGGAATATATTGTGGCCTCTAAAAGAGGCGGGACGTTGGATTGCATGGAGTTTATTGGCTACTTTCTCAAGCAATTTTCCGGGCAATGCTTCCGCGATTCGCAGACATTGGCTGTCGTCTTGGACTCCGGCCTTCGACTCTTGGCGACGGTGACGCAGTTGAACTGTGATGGGCTAGGGAGTGTTGGCTTTCTTGCCAACAGCACAAGTCTCATTCTCCTTGCCACGGAGAAGAGCGAGATTGCTCTTACCAATGTACCGGACAATCAGTTGGATGCGCAGCAGCCACAGTTGATGCAGAACTTTAATCTTGAAAATCTCGGTATTGGTGGGCTGCGGAACGAATTTGCGCAGGTTTTTCGCCGCGCCTTTGCGAGTCGTCTATTTCCTGCATCCTATGTGAAGAAGTTGGGGGTGAAGCATGTCAAGGGGGTTCTTTTGTATGGGCCGCCAGGCACGGGAAAGACGCTGATTGCCCGAAAAATTGGCGAAATCCTAAACTGCCATTCACCAAAGATTGTCAATGGCCCCGAGGTGTTTAATAAATTTGTTGGTGGAACCGAAGAAAATGTGCGGAAACTCTTTTTGGATGCCGAGGCCGAGGCTGCGGCAAAGGGTGACCTTTCAAAGCTGCACCTTATCATTTTTGATGAGTTTGATGCCATTTGTAAGCAGCGTGGTGCTGTTCGTGACTCCACGGGTGTGAATGACAACGTGGTGAATCAACTTCTCGCAAAAATCGATGGGGTGAATTCGCTGAACAACGTCCTCCTTATTGGCATGACCAATCGAATGGATCTCATTGATGAGGCCATTCTGCGCCCGGGTCGGTTTGAGGTGCATGTGGAGATCAGCCTTCCAAATGAAGAGGGTCGAGAGGAAATTTTCCGTATCCATACCCGCGGCATGCGTGAGAACGGCATCATTGGAAAAGACGTTAACTTGGCGGAGCTTGCCAGTCTAACAAAGAACTATTCCGGTGCCGAGATTGAGGGTGTGGTACGCTCGGCGATATCCAATGCCTTTAATAAACACATAGACTTGGACCACCCAACGGAGGTGGTCAATGCACAGGATGTGTTTGTAACGCGTCAGGATTTTCTTCGGGCCGTTGAAGAGGTGGAACCTGCGTTTGGACAGGCAAAGGAAGAGTGTAGCAATCTCAAGGGCGACGGTATCATTTATTACGGTAAACCATGGGAAGGAGTGGAGAGCTGTTGCAGTCGTTATGTGGAGTTGCTTAAGGGTGAGGGTAAACGCATCCATCTGCTTAGTGTACTTATTGAAGGATTGCCGGGTTCGGGTAAATCGGCGGTGGCGGCGTACCTTGCAGAAAAGGCCGAATTCCCTTACGTCAAGGTCATCTCTAGCGAAGTTATGGTTAGTTATGGCGAGTTACAAAAGGTCAATATCATTCGAAAGGCATTTGAGGATGCCTACAGGTCTCCCACAAGTGTTATTATTCTCGATGACATTGAACGCATTATTGAATTCTCTCACCTGGGGGGTCGATACAGCAATGCCATCCTGCAAGCATTACTAGTACTTATAAAGCGGCCACCGCCGGAGGGCCGGAAACTACTTGTGATTGGCACAACTGCGCTGTATGATGTGTTGGATAGTCTCGAGATGGTTTCATGCTTTTCCGTGAAGATGACGCTTCCACGAGTGCCTCCCGAGGCTCTGTCATTGGTCGCAAACGAACTTGAGCTCCCATTTGCAACCCAAGCGGATTTGCACTGCTGCGTGGACCTCCTCCCGATGTCTTTGCCGATGAAGCAGCTTTTACTTGTCTTGGAGATGGCTGCTGAGAGGGACACGGAGGGGCGGGCTGTCATAACCTCCAAAACATTTGAACAGGCGCTTGAATCGGTCGGAGTACGTGGGGGCTGAGAAGGACTCGCCGGCAGTTTATATTTTTGTTGTTGTTGTGTGTGTGTATGTGGTATCAACAAAAAAAAAAAAAAAGAAAATAATTGAAGTCTGTGAAGGAGAGGTGATAGTTTTAAAAAAAAGAAAGAATTTATGTGCGTTGCGGAGCGCCTGCACTCATGCATGCACCTGTTCCCCTCGCAATGAGAGGCAAGGATGAGAATTTTCATTTATTTGCTGCCGTACTGTCGTTTTATTTTCTCCCTCTCCCTATCTCTCTCTGCAATTGTGTGTGTCGTTGTTCTGTATCTTTTTGTAGCATTACTGTCTCCTTTTTTGTGTGTATGTGGGTATGTTTTGTTTGGTTTTGTTTTTATTGCTCCATGCTCTCTTTGCAGTTCCCCCACTAAATCACTCCTTAAGCCACTTGACGGCGTGCATATGCAAGCGAACGGGGCGAGTCTCTCGGAGAAGACGGAGTCCTCAGGAAATGCCGCCACTCTGACGTACTCTGTGGCCCCGCACCCTTTTAGCTACCAGACCCTTTTTGCCATTGTCATGGTTTCCGTTTCGGCGAATCAAGGAACGTTGGGCAATCTGAAATCTTGGATGAGGCGTGTCCAGGACTACTCCAAAAAAGGGCGTATTAAATGGTCTCAAGTAGCCTTTACGCACTGCTTTTCGCGTCAACTGGAAGTCAGAAGGAGCTGTGTTGTGGCGAGTGTGTCATGTGCACTCCTCTCACATGGCGAACGGCACTGGGGTGTACTGTGGGCGACGTCACATGGTCTGTATTTCAGAAGTGTGGTGGAAAATGAAATTTTTGGCTCCATTTTCAAGGAAAAGAGCGAGAAGAAAATGACGATGGATAAATTGGAGGATAATGAAAAGACATGGGGAGATGAATCATTGGCCTTGAAGGAGGTTTTGTCTTTCAAGGACGTCGTCTCACTGCTTCCCTCCATAGCACTTGAAGTAGTCGATGATGGTCCGCCGTACGTGATGGGTATACCGAATCCTATCGTGAGGCCAAACACCTTGCAAGTCTTTACAGTCTCTCCGAATCAGATCTACCAGTTTGTGCACATGCACGATCTGACAGTGATTCCACCCTCGAGTTCCACTGTCATGGGAGATACATCCGAAAAAATGTTGCTAAAGCATGAGTATGATGTAATTAGAAACTTTCCTAGTGAATTTGATGCCGTTACGTTTTGTGCCTTAACAGAGCGGCTCTGGGAAGCTCGTCTAAAGGCGTTGCAAATCCCGCTTTGCCGAGATGGCGTCACATATGCTGCCAGACACTGATGTTCTTTGCATTGAGTGGTATAGTTTTAGGGAGTCTTTGGTTTTACTGTTGCTTTATCCTTTATTTCGCAGCGTTTTTTGTTGTTGTTGTTGTTTTGTGTGTGTGGTGTGTTTTTACCTGTTTATCTGCTAGTTTGTTTGTTTTGCTTTACATCGCATGGGAGACAGCGTCACATTTTTGTCTTGGGTGTTTATTTTCCCCTTTTTTTTTTTTTCTTGTTGTTGATTTTTCTAATATTCACAAAAGGAGAAGAATATATATATATATATATTTATATACATGTATGCCTTCACATGTACGAATGCCTATATCTTTTGCGGAAGTAAACGTGTAAGATATGTACGTTTGTGGATTTTGCCAGAATGTTATTTCCTGTTTTTTGTTGTTGTTGTTGTTGTTGTTTTTTCTTTTGATGTCCCTGCCGTTTTTTATTTGTTATTTTGTTTGTATGTGTGTGTTTGCCATTTCTCTTCTGATTTTTGATTACGTTCTCCTTCACATGGTAGCCAACCCGAAGTGCTGTTTGTGTCACTTTCATGCATGATGACTCTCGGGCTGTTTTTTGCTTGCTTGTTTTTTGTTTTGTTTTGTTTTTTACTGCCGACGCCTTTTTTTATTATTTGTTTGTCTGCAAGGAGTCTCTGAGGAAGAGAGGGATAGAAAGGAAGGGAACATTCATGCGACTAGCGGCGAGGCGCGGGGGACTTCTGCTGCGGCCAGGCGGCTTCACACGTTTCGCATCCTCCACAGGACAGCAGGAGCAGCAGGGAGGGCGTGGGTTTTTCTCCGTCTTTTCCCACGGCCCCCGTAGTCGCGCGGAGCTTTGGGGACTTCTTCTCGGATGTTCCGTCTTTCCGCTCTCCGTAGCGCTGATGAATTGGTACGACAAGCAGAAAGAGGTACCACCGCCGGAGCTTGCGCCCGATTTCCAGTCGACGCATTCTGTCAGAATGACACCCAAGCAGCAGCTGGGCGGTCCATTCCGGCTGCGTGAGAGTCGCACGGGCGCCTACATCACCGATCAGGAACTTTTTCAGGATCACTGGACACTCCTATATTTTGGATTCTCCAAGTGCGCGGAGGTATGCCCGACGACACTGCAATTCATTGCGGATGTTATGAAGGCCTGCGATGCTGCGACAACAAAAAGCACGGCGCCAGAAGTGGCAAAGTTGCAGGCGGTATTTTTAAGTATAGACTCCTTCCGGGATACACCGGAGGTTCTGGAGAAATATGTTTCCAAGTTTGACCCACGCCTTCGGGCCTTGTGTGGCAGCCTGGAGGAAGTGAAACAGGCGGCTAGCGCATGGCGGGTGTACTACTCTTCCATTGAAGAAACGGATGAGGAGCGGAAGTTACGTGAAGAAAAGGGCGTTCCCGAAGTTTTTCTTGACGACACATACCAGTTTGACCATAGTAGTGCCATCTACCTTGTTGGTCCTGATGGCAAAATGAAGGACTTTTTCTTTAAGGAGATGGGACTGGAGGATGCGGTCAATAGGCTCGGTGTGCACTTTGAGGACATCTACGGCTTCAAGGACACAAGAGAGTCATAGAACCAAAATAAAGGGAGGAGAAAAAGAGGCGTGGGACCATGAAAGAGGGAGAGCGTTTGTTTTTTCCCTCCGCAATGTGGGGGCACTCCAGGTAAAGCAAATTGACATGTACGCATTTATAATGTGTGAGCTGGCGGCCAAAAAGAAAAAAGAAATGAAAACGAACAATGTGACGCGTATGGCGTGGCGTGCGTATATATGTTTTCCATTACTTTTTTTGTGAAGGAAATTTACGGGTTACAATCTCTTGAGTGTCCCTCTGTGTTTTTTTTTCTTTTTGGTTTTTTGGTTTTGTCTTTGTTTTGTTGATTTTGCTTTTGAATAATGGTTGGGTTTACTCTGTGGGTGAATTTCTTTTCTTGGACATATGCCTGTGAGCGCAACTACCTCTGGCCAGCGAGTAGGAAAGAAACGGGAGTGTGTAAAGGGGTTGTGGGGCATCCCGTAGGAACAACACAGCCAGCCGTATCAGCGGAGAAAAGAGGGAGAGAAAAATGCAATTTAATTTTATTTATTTTACTATTATTATTATTACTATTATCGGCCAATTGAGGTACGGGAACCACAGTGTGGCAAAATCTTTTTCTTATTTCTTCTGCCGCTGCCTTTAATCGCATTCACACGTGTAAAAACGCATATGTTTTGTTTCTAGAAATTAAAGGGTGGGTGGGGTGGGTGGACGGAGAGAAGGCGGTTGTCCAAACGTGTACAAAAAATGAGGTCAACGCTTTCGTGGCGGCGACGGCTCATCCTTGGCATGAGCATTGAAGACGCACGGAGTAAATTCGATAGCCCGGAGTCTCGTGTGGCGTTGCGTCTGGCGCACGAGCGGTACAATCAGGGACTCTACCACGAGCTTACCCTCGCCCAGCGTCGCCGCAATCAGCTGCCGTCCGAACGGCGGTGTCATCTGGTGCGCCACACAAAACCGAGCGTGAAGGGCTTTCAGTCGTACATTAAATCCTGCCCGGATGACTACGTGGTGCGGGAGATTTGGCGCGATGATGACAAAGAGACGGCAGGGCCAATGTTGGACGCCACGGCGGCGGTAGTGGCGCAGAACTCCGAGGCGGCGATTTCATCGGCAGAAGGAGGGTCGCTTAAAAAACGGAGCAAAGGCCACGATGCAAATGCGGAGCAGACACCACCGCAGGAGGAACACGTCGTGAATTCGAGAAAAGAAGCGGCATTGGACGTATTAAACGTGACTCCTGGGAAGGAAGATGTCGTTTCAGCACCCGCGGAAACACTGACGCCACCGTCGTTGCCGAGCCATGTGGGACTTCAAGTCACTGCAGATGTTCAGATGTACAAGCAACACCGTGCGGTGGTACTCCAGGAGCTTGCACGGGG